ATCTGAGAAGACACTGCCTACATAAAAAGTGACAGGTCAGCCGAGGGGGAGGAGCAGGTAGAGATGAAGGGTTTGGGAAGTTTCCTCGCACACAGAATCCTGCAAGCGTGTCACAGTGACAATGCCAGCGGGACACAGGTGGCGGTCACTGCACGGCACAGGCGAACACTGAGCCCCACCCACTGCAGTTCACATACGTCACAGCAACAACAACCCCGTTAGAACCATATGATTGCTGGGGTTCCCAGCCGGCTCAGTTGGTGGAGCATGCGACTCGATCTCAGGGTCATGAGTTCAAGCCCATGTTGGATGAGGAGCCTACTGAAAATAAAAATAAAAATATAAATTGCCCGAAAATAAAGTGCTGCAGAGCTGAAAGACAGATTCTAGAATGTGGGTAGGGAGGGGACACAAAGGGATGGAGAGCAGAAGAGAACCATTCAGAGAAGACAAGGAACAGCCTGAGCAATCTGACCGCAGTCTCAAAAATAAAACTCCCTCAAAACAAGAGTGGAGGAAATCCGAGGAGAACGTTTCTAAGCTGTAAGCAGACGCAGTGCTCCCTCAGGGGGGCCACAGGGCTGCAGACCATGGGGGCAAGGGAACTCTGGTCCCTGGCTTCTGGAGTCCCCAGCACACACGCTGTGCAGGGTGTGTCCACGGCACCAAGTCTGGGGGTCAGGTGAGGTCACAGCACAGAGTGTGGCTCCTTTCCCTCCCCCACCATGTGGATGCCATAATTCCTCTCCCAGCGACGTTAGTCCACCTCCTGGCGTACAAGGATGAAAGGTATTAACCACATGAACTCACTTTGCATGTGCCTGGGTGAAGGTCTGTCGCTGGTATCGCCACTCTCCAGGAAGTCCATGGCCGCTGCCCTGTGGTCCTCCCAAGGGTGCCCCATGCCCCTCCCACCCCCGTCCCCACTCCTGGACCTCCTTGCAAACCACTGCCAAGCTCTCTGGCCATCTGCTCAGACTGGATCCTCCCTCCCCGCCACCATGCAAAGCTGTCCAGAGGTCCTATGTCATACACGTGACCTTCCCTAAGCAGCCAAGGGGAAGGTGGGGATTTATAGGGCCCTTCCTTCCCAGCAGATGGCCCAGGACCCTCCCTCCTCTGCATCAACTCAAACAAAACACCCATTTCTAGATCACAGGCCACAGGCATGTTTCTACACTGGGTGGTCAGTCAGCTTGCCCTCCTGGGGGCTGTGCTGTCTAAAGCAGGAAAAGCAGGGGCCGCAGGTTTGGACCCCATCCTGCACAAGCCACTCGTGGGCACTCTGCCCCACCTGGATGGCAGGAGGGGTCAGCTGTCTCCTGGCTCACCTCTATCTCTCTCGCTCCCACCTCGTTTTACCTCCAGGACTACCATCAACCTTGGTCCCCGTGGCTGTCTCTGGTCACTCCCCAGTGCCCATTCCCACCTCCCTTGAAGACGTCAGCTTGTGCTTCATGCTATCCCTCATAACTTCTTCTGATTGCTAGGGTAACTTGAACATCTACACTGGTGAACCAGAAGACACACCCCAACCGCGTACTCCCTTGTCCTCTTTCAGTGGACGTGTGGCTGCTTGAAATAAAGCTATTTCCCCATCTCCCTTGAAGCAAGGCGTGGGCACGTGACCAAGGGCCAGTTGGATATAAGCAGGAGCGCTGGGTGCAAATCTGGGAAGTGCCTGAAGAGGAACTACATCCTTCTCCATCCTGCTTTCACACCAGATGGAGTGAACTTGATTGATGGTGAGAGCCGGGCAGCCGATGTGGGTGGCATACTGAGGATCCTGAAACGAGAGAATAGCCTGATCCCCGATACCACACATTACCATGTGCTCCCCAAGCTGCCCGTTTGTGGGACACCGGTCACCCATCTTGTTTAAATCGCCGCTGTTACATACGGCCAAACCTGGCTCAGGTCAGTAACTGGCAGAGCCAGGATCTGCCAGCCTTACTTGGGAGCGCACAGGACACCCAGGGCAGTGGGCTTTGCGCATCTCAAGGTCCTCACAGAGGGGACGCAGTACAGGGACCAGAGCCGTGAGCTCCAGGCGGCAACAAGGAGCAGAGGAGCAGGTGAGGAGAAAGGAAATGAAGGGAGCCGGAGGAACGCACACAGGAGGGACGTGGAGGAGGAGGGGAAGCCGGCTCCCAGGTCAATCCCCAGGGCTAGTCTTGCATCCAGTGGACAACATGTTCATTCCTACAGCAATTCCACACCGGTGCAGTTTTCCAGCTGTAAACTATGTTGGGAGAGCCGGTGTAAACCAACTGATGCACCCTCTGCCTCCAGGATCCCAGGAATCGACATGCTCAGGAGGAGCTCCATCTTCTCTTTTCCCCAGTGAATTTCTCTGCTTCACCCACTTGGTTAGGTGTTGGCTTGGGAGAGTGCACATACTCGTGGGACAGAACGTACGTACCTGGGGGACAGAACGTGAGCCCACAAGCCGCTCTGCCTGCCCAGGGAAACCTAGCGGATGTCTGGATGGCTCTACAAGACAGCACAGAAAGGAGAGACCATTCAATAAAGAGGGCTACAGATATAGACAAACGAAACTGGGTCCCCCACCAAATACAATACATACAAATAAGTTTCAGATGTATAAAAAATCCTTATAGGAAAATTAAAAATTTTTGAAGATTTATTCATTTTAGAGAGGGGGAGGGGCAGAGAGAAAGAATCTCAAGCAGACTCCCCACTGAGCACAGAGCCCATCGCAGGGGGCTCAATCTCACGACCCTGAGATCATGACCTGAGTTGAAAACAAGAGTCAGATGCTTAACCAACTGAGCCACCCAGGAGCCCTGAAAATTAAAATTTAGGTTTTTAGAAAGCCTCAAGGGTAGAGAAGGATCTCTTAAAGAAGCCTCAAAGGCCACCAAAGGTAAAAGACGGACACGCATAACATTTAACATAGTACCATTTAAACACGACTTTGGCACGGAGAAAGACTGCTAGGGAGACAAGCCACCGCCTGGGGATCATGTTTGAAATGCATGTCACTGACCAAACATTAGCATTTCTCCAGAACATATATGTTAACAGATGTAAATACCCTTAAGTAAAAGGTAAGTCGCCCAAATGGAAAGTGGGTGAAGGATATGAACAGAGAAGGAAATCCGCACAGCCAGAACATACGAGACGAGATGCTCAAGCTCAGTGCAGACTCAAACTTCAGGGACAGAATACCCACTGAAACAGCAAAAATGAAAAGTCCGAAGATGCCAAGTGCAGGTCGAGTGGGGGAGCAGAGGGCGCTGTCAGAGAACAAAAGGCCCCATGGGCTTGGGGAGCAAGCAGGAACATGCCCTCAGCGAGGGGACTGCACACACTCACCCAGATGCCCGAAACAGCTCTCCCTGTGGTCTGGTTCTAACACAGAAACCCTGCAAACCCATGACGTCCATCAACAGCATAACAGGTACACAGTGGATGTCACATAATGGAATATTAAACAGTTCAGATAACTGAACCAGAGCTTCATTTACATCCATGAACGTCTCAAGAACCAATATGAAAATTTCAGAAGTCATCACGTGGATACAGTGTGGTATCATTTCTATAAAGTGTAAAGAACGTACTGGCACATAGAGCTAACCTGAACGTGGAGGGACAGGTACGAGTTGCTTTCAGGACAGCAGAAGTGGGGGGTAGATGGCCCTGGAGCTGCAAATGGGACTTCAGGATTATTAGGTTTTATTTCTAAAAACAAATCCAGAGCAAATATGGAAAAAACACTAGGACTAGTTGGTTGGTGACATGGCGGTGGGGGGGGGGGGTTGGCATGTGTAGCCCGTTCTCTGATCCTTCCAGCATATCTGATCACGTTTCTGTCCTCCTACCCCTGCCCCACACTCTGTGTTGGGGTCCCAGGCTCCCAGCTCCTGGGCCGGCTTCCCCAGGCTGGGTCTCCTCAAGTAGCTGTTTCCCCTGCAAGGGCTCGCACCCTGGGGCCTGCTCACATTCATCTGTTTTCCTGTCTTTGGCCTTCTTCGTGGGCACTGTTCCTCTCTCCTTCCCTGTCGGTCACTTGGACGTGAGGCCCTCCACCCTCTGCTTGTACCCCTAAATGTGGTTTGCACCCCCAGCATCCTGGCCAGCCCTTTGACAAAGACCTCTCCACACCTAACAAATCAGAACTTATTAAAGCTCATCTTTGGGACCCCCCAACCCCCCAACTACTGTTTGGATTGCCAAATTGAACAAGCTAATCCCCGGTCTTCCTCCCCTTTACCACCAGGGACCAGCCCTCGTCTTCTGAGACTCCAACTTGCTGTCGGCTTTCTGGGCTGTGATGCCTGCCACCACCCTGGGCTCTGACCATGAGTCAGTCAGCAGCGGATGGTGTCCGGATTCCACCCCCACCAGTCTGCATTTGGCCTCCGGGTTCCTGCAACCCCTCTGCACTTCTACAAACAGTCTAGGGAACGGCAAGCTACATCAAACATCAAAACACTTTTATTTCTCTCATGATAAATCACCAACTGCTCAGTACTCACGTTATTTCGGGAACGAGGATGTGGGTCTACCAGTCAGAACTGCAAGGCCCTGTGTTGGCTCAGCAGCCGGCCAGCCACACTGCACTGCACCACCAGCGGCCACCAGCACTGCCTCGAGCACCCGAGCCCCGGCCAGAAGCATCGCTGAGATTCTCTCCATGGCCTGGGCCGATGTGGACAGGAAAGGGAGAAGCCGACGGGTCCACGCCCCAATCACAGTGCCCAGAGATGGACACAGGAGGGACAACAGTGGGTTTCAGACGTGGCCCCCATCCAGCCTCCCATGTGCTGGTTTGTCAAGGAGCAACACTGCTTGTCTTGGCTCCACACAGCCCGGCTTAGGAAGCCTTCTACTTGGAGAAATGACTGCAGACAGACATGAGCAGTGAGGCGACGGAGCAAATCTCCCCCTCTGTCCTCAGAGCACATGTCCTCCCAGGAGAGGCCACGAGACGCAGGAAGCAAGGTCCACACTTACAAACACGCCAAACTCCAGCATTCCAAGAGGATTCATCTATTTATTGATATTAAGCCACTTCCCAACAGTAACTGCCTAACAAGAATAGGACTCAATTTCTAAAGGTAGTAAAATAATGATGACATCATAGACAAAGCGTTGGGGACATTCCACGCAGGGCAAACCAGCTTTCTTCTCCCGCAGGAGTGGGCAGGTGCTAGGTGCCATCCCGAGCATGAACTCCTGGTCCCTTCCTTCGCCTTGGCCCTCGGAGCATCCCAGGCTGCGGTGTGGGGCTGGGCGACTTCTCCACGTCCTCCCCACGTGGCATAGCCGTCCCGGGCTCCTCCAGACTGAACGCCGGCGCTTCTGGCCAGTGAGCCGTGGTCAGGTGACAAAACCACTGGCACCAAAAAGCTGGTTCTTCCTCTTCGCCAAGTAAACAGGACACTTTTTTTTTTAAGGAAAGAAATGTCTTAAAAATATATGGCACTAGAGCGTAGAACTATACGAGGGCACCCATGACGACTTCCCACGGCTGCCAGCCCCGTGCCCGACCCCCGTCAGATGTAGAGCTGATGAGAGGCCAAGGTGTCCATGAACGGACGCACCAGGTTGTCCGTGGAGAAGTAGAAGATGAGCCCAAACGTGATGGAGATGGGAAGAGCGGGCAGCGCCTTCTTGAACACAGCAAGCAGCAGGAGGGTCAGACACAAACCCTGCAGGACGCGGAGGGCTGCTCTCAAAGCTCTGTGCCGTGCCCAAGGTGGAGCACTCGCCCCGTTTAACACCCTGCACGCTAATGCGGGAGCCTCCTGACTCCCAGAACGGCGCTGCTCTACCAGACCACCGCCCCCACCTGGCAACGAGACCAGTGGCAGGCAGCCTCCCCTGGAGGGATGTGTATTTATAAAGAGCTGGACAAGCTCCATGGAAAGGCTGGTAAGGGTCTCAGTGTTGGCGTCTCTAGAGAACCAAAGAAGCCATGTGACCCATCCCCATGGAAGTGGCTGCCTGTCCTGTCCTGCCCTGGCTGATGGGGACAGTGATCCAGGGAGGGGACAGGGGACCAGAGCAGCTGCCCTGTCCTTGGGTAGGGCAGGGCTTCATGTCAGACAGTCTGGAGGTGGAGGAGGCTGGGGGTCCGCTACTCCATCCCTGACATGCTGTGGGCAGGTAGGAAATCCCCAGGAATACAAGCCTCAGCCTTCCGGCGCCCTGTGACACCCAGCTTTGCCAGGGCAGAGAGTGGAGCACCTGCTGCTCAGAGCCTCCACCTCTCAGATGCAATCCTCCTAGGACACTTCCCCATCATGGGTATCTGGCCACACTGAGTCACTGCTGGGGTTCGAAGTGACGGGGTCCCCTCCCTGCCTCACAGATGTCATGAGACTGCACACAAAGTCGGCCAAGCCTCTGCATGGCCACGTGCATGGTCCATAATGCCAGAGCCCCTCAGCCATACCTGCCCTGCCTGGACCCTCCTGTAAGCCTGTCTCATCTCGAGGGGCTTCCTGGCAGCCCTGTCCAGCCCCCACCACCCTGCCCCTCCAAGGAACAGCAGCATCTGAAACTCCCCTCGGATCCAGGTCCCCCCCCCACCACCGGGAAGACAGGGCAGGTGCACCCCCGGCCCACTCACAATGAGGATGGCCACGAAGCATGCCAGAGTGGTGTTCCAGTCCCCGCTGCCGGTGGCTGCCGCCTTGCCCACCAGCACACTGTAGAAGATGAAGTCCCCCAGGCCAAGCTTCACGCCCCCTGTATGGGGAAGAGAGTGAGCCCGTTGGTATCGGGAGCCCCAAGAGGAAGTGGTGGAGAAGGCGGATGCCAGCCCACACCCCAGCCACTCCGCCTGCCCCAAGGGATCCAAGGGACCTGGGGCCAGAGTCCTGGGGCCCGTGGGGGCCCAGATGGGGCAGGGTCGCTGCCAGCCCACCTCACCTGGCCTCCAGGGCAAGGACTGGCTGCCTCGGAAAACCAGCAGCCAGTGGGAAGAGTGGGCCGTTGGGCTAGGCCATCTGCCATCTGGGCTGTGAAAAGCTGGCATTTCTGACAATTCGGGTAAAATTGGTGCTTGACAGTTGAGTAAGAAAAGAGCAAATAAAATGTATTTTCAGGGGTCAGTGGAAGGCTGTACAATTTACTGCTAAGTTTATGTTAGAAATATTTTCTAGGAAATTTTATTTCACTACTTTCAAGAGCGCATACAGTGCTTAGAGCTCCCCTGGCAACCCTTCCCCTTAAAAAGAGGTAAGCATAATTGGTAAATAAGCTTATCTCTTGCCGACAGTAAATGAGAACTCGAAAACTCGCAGGGTGCTTCTGTTTCCTTTAGATGGGATTGCCCGGACGGAGTACTTGTTTACAGGGAACTGCTCACCGCAGACGGTACAAATGTTTATCTAACAAAGTCGCACGTGTGGGCCAGCTGCCTGTCTGGCCCTCTGCGGCCTCCTCCTGCTCACGGGGGCTCCTTGGCTGGGGCTGGACCCCGTGCCACCCTCCACCAGACCTCCAGAGGCTGGCTCCTGCCCCCAGCCTGCTTTCCTTCCTCAGCTGTCTCCACCATGCTCTTCACTGTGGTCTGTCAGTCTCCCTCTTGCTCACCCCCCCCCACTTTCCTGCTCTCCCCTCTTCCTTATCTCTTCTTTCTCAGAAGAGCTCTGTGCTCCCATCCTGTGCACTTGTGAGGCCCGGAAGCCCCAGGTCCCCCACCAGTCAGGGTGCAGGGGGGGAGGCCAGCACACCACCTGTGGATGCCCGCGGCCTCAGGCTGCTCCCTGCTCAGTCCCCCGTCCTCCTCAGGTCCTCCTCTGGCACTCTCCCTTCCTCCTCACTGTGCAGACCCAGGTTCAGCCCCTCTGTCTCTAATTCCGACCTGAACCCTCCCCAGGCCCCCCTTCAGGCCCAGGTTTTGACATGTATGTGATGCCCTGACTCAAACCCTGGCCTCAAACAGAACGAGCTTCCCTTCTATGTGGCTGCTGAGTGTCCCCCTGCAGGTCCCAAGATGCTTCCAGCTGTCTGCCCCGCATGCCCCATGTGCCCCTGGGTCACCCCCACACTCCCGCCGGCCCCTCCCACACCATCTCCTCCCAGCCCGAGCCTGCGTGGGTGGCTCTTCCCTCACTGCTTTCAGGGGCCTCATCTCCCAGCAGGGTCAGCTCCTCCTGCAGCCAGGGTCCACCTCAAATGCTAGCTAACAAACCACTAAGGGCTCCCCGCTGCTGCCAGGGCAGAATCTCAGCTGCACCCTGAGTGCTGCACACCCCCCAAGGGCTGGCCCTCCTCAGCTGCTCCCTAAGGCTCCCTCCTCAAGCCTGTGCTGCTGGGTCATGAGGAATTTTTCTGGCCTTTGTCCCTGCTTCCTGGGAGGGAGGCTACATCCCTGGAATTTCCCAAGTAACAGGAGTGTCTGTTATTCAGGAGACCCAGGATCCTAAACCCTTGAGTTCATGCAAGTGAGAGGATCAGGAGGGGCTGGTCTACCAGAAAGACCAACCTTGTGAGAAGGGGGCGGGGACTGGAGCCAGCTGGCCTCTGGGGGGGGGGCAGGCCCCTCCCACACCTACCCTCTGCATCTCTTCACACGGCTGGTCCTTAGTTGTCTCCCTTATAATAAAACTGTAATTGTGAGCACAGCGCTTTCCTGAGCCCTGTGAGTCGTTCTAGCGAATTACTGAAACTGGAGGGGTAGTGGGGCAGAATTGGGTAGTGACCCCCAGGAAGAGACAGGGAAGGGCCTGTGTGGAAGACGGTCTTGAAGACAGGCCCAAGGGCACATTTCCAAGAGGATAAAAATAGTCCTTCCACCAGGACACAGGTATGGCCAACCCACTGTGTGCCAGGTGGCACATGGGACCCCGTGTTCCACAACCCATGGCAGCCTGGAGCGTGGGGCAGGGCTGTTAGTGGCTGCCTAGCCCAGTCTGCCCCTGAGCCCCAAACCCACACCTTGTGCCCCCACGGCTACACTGGGACCTCCTCGGCCATGCAAGTGCATGCTGGGATGGAATTCTCCACCATCTGTAACCCTGCCCCCTCTGGGTCACGTCCTTCTTCCCACAAAACTCAAAACCCTCTGGTGGCTGTGCATGGTGCACAGGCCAGAACCCCCACTTCAATCTGGGAGGCCCTCTGAGCCCCAACGAGCCTCCCAGTCCCATGTCTGCATCTCTGGTCTGGGTATCCTGCCTGGGCTTCCTCTAAATCACCCTGAACTGCCGGCCCCCCAGCCTCTGCACCCCCACCCCCACCGCTGCGTCCCCTGCTCCCAGAGCTCAACCCCTGGAGCTCAGCTCAGAAGTCCCCACCTCAGGTAACTTCCCCTGGGGCCCCCAGAGCAGGTCAAGGAGCTGGGTCACTGTGCTCTGGCCCCCGTGTTCTTCCGCATGGTCCTCCCGGCCCAGTGTGGGTGATCAGGACCCATGCCCGGTACACCCGAGCCAGGCCTGGATTACTGCTCGCACCCAGCACGGTAGAGACACACCATCCACACTCGCTCACATCTGGTAAATACGTGGCTTAGCAGGAAGACTGCCTGGACTCCACCTGTGCAGGCTCCTCCTGGACTTCTGTGCCCATCTCTGACATGAGGAGGGGCTTCTCCCCACACCCCCCCCGACCTCAGGGAGCCCCAGCTCCACCCTTGCCCCACCCCTGGGCCCACGCAGACCCTCTCGGCATGGGCGCCTTACTTTCCTCCTCTTCCTCCAGCTCCCCGCCTGGGGAACCAGGCAGGGGGGGCTCAAAGACTTCTGGGTATGAGGGCTCCCCAAAACTGTCATAGGAGTCTTCTTCTGGGTGTCCACAAAGAGAACGTGACCGTCCCGGTGTGAGGCGGGGGCGAGGGAGAGAGACAGAAGTCCAGTCAGGGGGAGCTCTGAGCTCAGGGCTCCCTGGCCCTCACCCACCAGCCAGCCCCGCCCTGACGCAGACAGAAAGGCTCTCCGCTACGCTCAGTCCCCAGCACGCGCCTCCCGGTCCTGCACCCCCCATAGAGGCCAGGCCAGGTGGACCTGGGTGCAGGTGCAGTCCCCTGACACTCACCCATCTCGGGGTCATAGGGCAGCTGAAGGGCTCCCTGGGAGGAGGGGTCCAGCTTGGCCATGCCCACCGTCCACACCATGGCAGCTGCGGAAGGAGAAAAGGTCCTGCATCAGGCGCTGCTGAGTGAGGCTGCCCCCAGGGCCTGGGAGGCAGCGTCCCCAGAAACCATCACCTCCAGTGGGGACGTGCCTATGCCCCTTGTTCGGGGCCCCCTGGGGGAGGGGTCCAGAATCACCAGATGTGGGCAGACAATGCCTTTCCTGGGCTTTTTTTTTTATATCCACTCTGTTGTGAGATAGACCACAGAGCTGCTCGTCTTCTGGCCCTGAAACTACCCTCTGAACACCGCCTCCCCTCCCCCACCATTCCAGTTCCTAACTCCTCTAGATGCTCCATAAAGTTGGATCCCACAGCATCTCCTCTTCTGACTGGCTTCATTCACTCAGCATGGTGGCCTCCAGGCTCATCCACGGCATGTGTCAGAACGCCTCCCTTTTCAGGGCTGAGTGATGCTCCACCACATGGGTTCACCACGTTTCGTTCACCCACCTGTCCGTCAATGGGCATCGGCATGACCGTGGCCCTTGGCTACCGTGCATGACCCTGCTGAGAACATGGGTGTGCGGACATATGCTCGAGACCCTGCGTCTGATTCCCCTGGATGTCCGTCCAGGATGGGATCGCTGGGTAGGGAGCACTGACTGGGTTCTCTCTGGCTGGGAAACTCTCGCCTGAACTCCCACCACACACGTCTCTCCAAGTCTCCATCTGGCCACTCCGTGAGCATGCCTCGCCTGAACATTCCCCATGGCGGCCATGCGGCCCCGCTGGCCCCACCCTGTCCCTCTAAGTGGCACCTCCATCCCTACTGTTGCTCAGACCCCATGATGCACGGACATCCTTGACTCTCCTAGCCTGCACCCCAAGCATCACAAATCCTGCCAATTCTGCCTCCAAAGTATCTCCAGTCTCAAAGCCTCTACCGCTCCCCTGGGGCCAGAGCCCCCCCACCCCCCAGCTCCTGGGTTGCTAGTCACCCCCAAACCCAGCTTCTCTTCCACTCTTGTCACCATGACTTTTGCTCTCCCCTCAGCAACTTGAGTGATCCTGCTAAAACATTCATGTCAGCTCGGTCCAAAGCCTTCCAGGGCGTGAAGCTCACTAAGGAGTGAAAGCCGAGTGCTCATCATGGCCTGCAAGGCCCAGCGGCCCCTCACCTGCCCCCTCCTCCCTTCTGCCCCCCCAGTGGCTTCAGCTCCCCAGCACCCCTGGACCTGCCCTCTCCTCCCTTCTGTCCCCCGGCAGCTTTGGCTCCCCAGCGCACCAGGCTGCACCCACCTCAGGGCCTTCTGCTGGAACTCTGTCCCCAGGGCTTCCTAGGGCAGGTCTCCGGTCAAATGTCACCTTATGACAGAGGTTTCCTTGACCACCTGACACAAACAGTACCCCCACTCCTCCCCTAAAGTCCTTAGCTCCCCTACCACTTCATCTTTTGACAAAGCACATCTCCCTTCTGAGAACGTGCGCTCCCCCAGAGCACAGAGATGGTGAACACAGGTATGAGCCCGGTCTCAGCCCCCCACACGTGGCTCTGCTTCTCTGAGCAGCCTCGAACCTTCTTTTAGGCTGTGGGCCACCTGCCAACAGCTCCCAATCCAAGTTCCATCTTGCCTTTGTAGATGTTATCCAGCACTTGGCAGCCGGTCTGCACCCTGCAGACAGCTGAGCCCCAGGTATTCAGGCTCACTCCTCAAATATGCCCATCGACAGATGGGAGGGCATTAGGACCACAGGGCTCTGAGCCCTGTGAGGCCAGGGGCCACGTGGGTCTTGTTTCTTGCGGCACCGCCAAAGCCCAGCACTGTGCTTGCTGCAAAGTGTGGAGCTGATGCTTGTCTGTTGAATGCATATATAAATCCAAATCCCTACACACTGGTCCCACAGCCAGCAGCAATCCCGTGTGCCTTCCCTTCAGAGACTTAACTGCAACCAGCCACGGAGCCGTCGAGGAAGCCCAGCGAAAAGCAGGTGCACCTGCTCCCCCAGACCCCTGCCCTCCAGAGCCCCTCTCCAAAGCACCCTCTCAAGAGTGTGGAGGGCCGAGCGGGTGGCCAAGGGGGGTACCCACCACATGCCACTGGATGCTGGACGGGATGCAGCTGTGGGGTGGACCACATCCCCTGCAGCCCTGGCTGGCCCTAACTCTCTAAGCATCTTCTGTGTGAAACCAAGATCCAGCCTGTTTTTGTCCCTAGCGGGTGGGCCGCCCTGGGATCACCAAGGCCACCCCCTCCCCTTGGATCAGTGAACTCTGAAAGCCATGGCCAGGAAGCAGCCCCTGGTTCCCACCTGGGGAAGAGACATAGGGGTCACTCACAGGAGTATATCAGGGCGGGAAATATGGGCTCGTTTCTCTCCTGGGCAGTCTCCACCAGCATCCTCAGTGGCCCTTTGGGGCACAGCACAGCCACGAGATCTGGGAGAGCAAAGACATCTGGGACATGTGGCAAGTGACATTTATTCCCAAGTAGCCCCCAGAGAGGAGGAGCCAGGCTGCGAACACCGGGGCAAATGTAGCCCAGAGCCCCCGAGCGAGGCTCAGAGTGTGTCCTGTGTGCCAGCTCCCGACCCACCGGTTTCCAGCCCTGACACTGAGAATCCACATTGGCTGAAGCCCAGAACGGGGTCTAAATTCCTTGCAAACAAGGAATTGCCATGTGGCTCAGGTACCCCGATGGTGGGCTTGCTGTCCTGAGCCTCCCATTCCTTACCCTTAAAATGGAAGTGACAGGGAGAGAGAATCACACTAACACTAGTTAATGAGGAGCTAATGTTCTGGGCGCTCGTTATTCACAGGTCTTGTGATCGACCCTATGGTTGCTCTGAGGAGCAAATCCTCCCAGTGTGTCAAGTGCTCACCAGTGTGAGCACTCAACAGACATGCTATCATTAGTGACCACATCCACAGCCCCAAGCCCCACAGCCCCTGTGTCTTACAAAGGCGAGCCTCTCAAAGGGGAGACCATCCAGCATTCGTCAGAGGGGGAGCCCCTGTCAGCACCCACCACTCATGGGCACCAGTGAGGAGGACTCGACCCTGGACACTGCCCCCACTGCCCACCACCAGGCTCGAGTCCCACCTGCGCCTGCATACCGTAGACAGAGATGGCACCCAGAATGACCCACGCGGACCACTCCGGGAGGTACTTGATGAATACCAAGGCCATGAGCGCACTGATCATGATGAGATAGGCCTGCTGCAGCACCAAGGGGCCTTTCCAATGGATGCACACCATGCCCACTGCCCCGAAGTTCCAGACGGTCAGGAACAGGGTGGGGTAGTCCATGGCCACATTATAGGTCTTGAGCACTTCCCTGCACAACCAGAGTCAAGCCGTGGGGTGGGAAACTCAGCAGAGAGGTTAGACCCTAATTAGACATAGTTCAACACCCCCTGCTCCTCAACCATTAAGCCCCAAGCTGGGTTTTTCCGATCTCTGGCTTCATTACTAATACCCCCTTCCCTGGTTCTGTGACTCCTGCAACGAACCACTTCAAGTATTTTCTGGAACAAGGTGGTGAGTGTGCCAACATCTCATCCTTGGGTTCATTCACATACACATGCGCTGGCACAACCTGGAAGACCCTTTGCCCAAAGAAAAGGTCCTCCTGTCTCTTCAGTCTCTCCGGGCCCCTGGGTCAGGCTGATGTTCCAAATAGAAGGCAATAGAGCAGATCACTTTTCCCATAAATGAGCAAGTACCCCGGCCTGGCCCAAAGACTAGAATGTAAATTTTAAGGGGTTTACACCCCTCTTGGGTTCACAGAGATCATCCTCTGTGTTGACTGTGCTCAATTAAATCAGGAACAAGAGAGGAATGCGTGGCCCGCCACAGAGCACCCCTGCCCTGGGTCAAGGCCCGTGGAGGGAGGGATCGGAGGCCAGGCCCTTGGAGCGGTGACACTGGGGAGAATCTGGAGTCCAATGGGCGGGTGCCCTCCTCACCCAGAACTGGAGCCTCGTGAGGGTTGGGGGGAGGGAGGGGCCCGAGGAGCCTGCCGCCCACAGGGTCACTTACCCGAGGTAGATATAGGTAAAGAGAAATAGCAGCATCAGGGAGGACATGATCAACCAGCCGTGGATGAACTAGACAACAGAAATGGGCAGAATGAACACAGGCCCCCAGCTTCTTGGGTCTCATGCCCAAGCCTTGAGAATCTTCATTAGGCTCCTCCATTACTGTGTGCTGGAAGGTACTGAGTAGCCGTGTGACCAATAAAGAGAGCAAAGAAATTCACAGAGTTCTCTCAAGGTCACCTGGCAAGTGCATGGAGCGGGAATCCTTCAGGTCCAAGCAGCCAGAGCCCTGCTCCCTCCCTGAGGGAAGATGTGCTGGAGACTCCCACCTGCCGGGCATGGCCCTAGGCTCCGGGGAGGAAGTCAGCGGCGTCCCTGTGCACACACTTCGTGCCAGTGTGAGGGCCGTAGCTAATAAATGTATATGCATATTGACAGGTAGTCACAGGGGCTACAAAGAAAAGAATGTCAGGTAAAAGTGATGGGAGACTCCCTGGGGTGCTATCTTAGAGTGGTCAGCGCCATCTTTGAGGGAGCGTTCTCTGGTCACCCCGGGAACAGCCCTCCCACCTGAGAGTCTATACACAGGTCCTCGGAGAGACACGTGCCTCCTGTCCTGGCCACCGAGGGAGGTCAAGGATGATGGTGGGTTGGTCCTAAGCCAGTCCCTTGGCCAGCCCTCAGTGGCACAGGGAGGTCACTGCCACCATCAGTCACCGGCTCAGGCCACCGGGTACCTCAGTGGGAACCGGGTCTCCTTGGAATGAAGGTGGTGGCCCAGCTGCCTCTGGGACGTGCTGATCCTTCTTGCCCCAGCTGCCTTCACCCCCCAGGACCACCATCACCTCCTTCCTGAGTGTCACAGAACCTGCAAGGATACCTCACCGAACTGCCTCCCACCAGTCCTGGGATGGGTCGCCTGACAGCCGCTGACCACGGCAGTGCCGGCTTTCCCCACCCCGATTCCCTGACTGGCTTATTTTCACCGGCCCCGTGGCCTCTGCTCCGACCATGCAGCCCCTACGCTGCTTCCCAGCCCCACTTAAAGCTGCCTTATTTCCACAAGTCATCATTCACTGATCAGCCTTGGCATCCCGGCACTTGCGACAGCCCTCCTGTCGTCTACCCCTGCATCGCCCTGGCTGGGATGGGCTCCTGTCCCTGGGCTGAGCCTCCTCTTTGTTCTCCACCTGCGCCACAGAGGGTGGCAGCTGGTGTGAGGATGGCTTCAAATCAGCCACCCCCAGTGTGTCTTTCTTTTAGGCCTCAGGGGTTCAGACCCTAAAACCCACGTCTGAAAGCTCACGGCCTGCCGGAGAGAGACAGCGGCCCCGCTCAGGCCAGGTGGGCCTCCCCCGGAGCCTCTGCTCTCTGGCTCCCGGGGGCCTTACCACAGCTACAGGGCCTGCCAGTCTCCCAGGCCTAGGAGACCTCAGCACGGCACCTGCACAGCCAGCAAGAGGGAAATAGGAAGGATGAGTAAACCTGCAGGGGAAGTGTGGGGCAAAGAGACCCTAAAATACAACATCTTGCTTCTTCGGAAGAAGCAGTGAAATAAAATTAACTCCTGAACGTGGAGAATGCTGCAGTGAGGGACGGGGGCAGGTGGGATTCTGTGCAAGGTCCAAGGACGATGGCAGCAGGCAACCCCCCCACGGGCGTGGGGGGGCAGGGGGACAGCATCTAACAGCAGCGTCTGCTCTGTCTGGGGCAAGAACCCTGGCAGGCATGTGGCAGCAGGGGGCGAGGCGGACAGGATGGGGCAGCAGGCAGGGCTGGCCCTCACCTTGTAGCAGCGGTACTTGTAGAGCACGACCAGGAAGATGGTCATGGCCACGATGACGCTGATCATGATGAGGGTGTTGAGCACAGAGTTGAGCAGGCGCTGGCCCACGGAGGGCGTGTCCTCAGTGAATGGTGTGTAGATGCTGAGGGAGATGGCGGGCTGCAGACTCTGCTCCCTGCCTGCTCCATAGGGCCTGCCCGTGAGCCACCCAGCCTTAGCCTGATGCCTGAGCCCCGAATGGAAAAGGAAGGGGCCCCCCAGGCCTCCCCCTCCCCAAGCTGTTCGCCTGCCCTCCCTTAGGCCTCCCCCGACACC